ATCTCGAAAAAGAAAATAGTATCGGTGTGATTTCTGCCTGAGAAGTTCCAACCTTCGAGATGTCATCCATCGGTTCGCCGGTGGCTCAAGGAACGAGAGGACTCGTGCGGTGCCGGCAGTGAAAGAGCGCGGCCGCGGGAAGGGAGGCCCCTTCGGTAGGTAAGGGTTCGAGGCCCTTTTGGTAGATAGGAGTTGGTAGGTTGTTAGGTTAGGCCGCTGCCAGTGTGTGCTCCTACGGGAGTCACACCTAGCCGTGCAACTTTGTGTGGTTAGAGTTCAGCGCCAAAGCACAAGTAAAGAATCAACATGCATCAACATTCAATCATGGACTGTGAGTAGTGTTAGACACAGAGCTGCAAATCAGAGCTGCAAAGCCTGTCCTGAAGCATCACCGACTTGTTGTTCAACCTTGCAGCAAGCATGGAAAGAAACAAGGCCACTAGACCACTAGGCTGCACAGTGTTCACCTCCATCCCGACGAAAAGATTGGAGAACTCCATGTGTCCCAGCAGGAAACCGTACACCATGTGCTCCGGCACCGAAAGTATGAAAGGTTCGCAAGCAAAGGTGATTTCCCAGAGTCTCACACGATTTCTCACGGAAGAACAGGGAGGTTCTCCCAATGCACCTCGATGCTTAGTAACAAAGGGCATCGCTACTAGGAGCAAGAAGCTACTAGGGGCTCCTGGCCTTACTACTAGGAACAAGAAGCTACTAGTTCTCTCTTGGCATTTTTTCACCGGATCAGCAACACCTGCTAGAAACTCTGCCGGGAGTGTTTCGGCTGATGTGTCGGAAACGGCATGCCACATGGCCCGAAGGATGCAATACAATACCATCAGATTTAGCCTCTCAGGGGATTTCATGAACACCACTTTCGGCTCAAGTTGGCGTCGTCGCCAGAGCTGTACAAAGTGTATTGGAAGTGCATGAAAAGACAGGAAGGCATCATGAAGTAAACTTTTGCACCCGTCCCATCCCGGCCCACGTCACACGTTGTCAGAAGTCTTGTCTCTTGCCTGGTTCTGAGGTTCTGAAGGATCTTCAAGTTCCACTTGTCTACCTGGGCGAGGTGGGCGTCAGACCAGATCGAAGGTAGGTGGATCCATCCCAGATCCACAGAGTCTCAAAGCCTCCGAAGAACGCGAGATGTTCGGACCGTTCTCGGTCAATGGTCATCCAACAGGTGTATTCATGGTTTGGTGCTTTCCCTCAACAAGCTACAATATGCTACAATCCTTGTCTGCCAGGCGCTTGTTGTTCCCCATGTAAAACTGTTGAACAAAAACGACCGATTCGAAACCTGGCATCCCGCGGTGCGATCGGCGCGCGGCCCAACTGGGCTGGGAAACCATGGCATCCAGCTGTTGCCAGTGAACCTCTTGGAGCTCTTGACTCTTGAAGATCTGGGCCTCGGCAAGATGTGGACCGGATGAGGAGAGTGTACACCATACTCTATGACCATTTGACTATATATGTATATAATATAATACCTGAAGTATCCTGAAGTATATCATCTATTAAGAAAGGAGCCCTTCCCGTTGGGGAAGTACCAAGAATTCGCTCGGGGCGAACATAACATCAAACATGTTGCCGGTATATGTAGTATATTGTAGGTCTATACTATGGTCTAGGTCATTGTAGGTCTATCAACTGTCTATCACTGACTACCAGTAGGCCGGAAAAGGCAATTTGCTCATTCGTGTCCTTCGCTTCCCTGTTCGGTGTTCCCGCACTGACCGCAGCAGACTTCGGGCCCCGGAGGCCCTGGCCAAGTTGAGAATCTCCAGAAGCAGCTCACAGCGGGTATGAAGCTCCACGCCTTTGGGCTGCTTGTCATCGGGACTTCGGGTCAAGGTCCACTGGATGTCCCCAGTGGAACAGATCCAAGGCAAAGGAAAACACTTGAATTAGCATTAGCTTCTATCTGAATCTATGTTGCTTGATTACAATGTCTACCAGCAGGATCCCTAAACCACAGGATGGCCATCATTGAGGCGTCTTCTTGTCCCATAAGCCTGCAAATCCGGATAGCAATTGTCAAGAAAGTGGGTCTTGACCCCACGGAAAAAAGCACTCTAGCGATGCCTTGCGTTGTAAGTTCAAAATAGCAACAATCATCCTCTTGCAAATTTGACGCAGGTTCCAACCATCCCTTGCTAACTTTCATAGATAGATAGATAGATAGATAGATCGATAGATCGATAGATCGATAGATCGATAGATAGATAGATAAATAGATAAATAAATAGATAAATAGATAGATCGATCGAAAGATAGATCGATCGAAAGATATGAACTAAATAGTGGCCCATGAGAGAGCAGCTTCTCTCCATCGCGGCACGTAAACGTGATCTCAACTCTGCGCTGTGAATAGTCATCAAAACGATTCAAAACACACATTGCACGAACAAGCAAAATTGCAGCCACGGTACACATGCAAATCGGCAACATGTCCTCCAGTTGCTCTGACATGTCCTTGCATTTGGAGCAGCACAGCTCCTGGCTTCGGAGAGTCAACATGAGTCAGAATGTGCGCAAGCGCGCTGATCAACAAAGAGTGTTGCTGGGATTCCTGTCATTTCACAACCTTGCTCACTGAAAAATAGACAGGCTGGTGATTTAAAAGCTCCTGATACAAAAGAATAACCTGCTTGACTCCATCCCAAACCACCAAAGGTTGATTGCACTCTCATATGAAACCACAAGGAAAAAACCTTGAATTCAACATAATTCAACAGTTGATTCCGATCACCTCACTTCTGCCACTGATAACTGCTCCTGGTCAAAAGACCACAGATCTGCCTCGCCACAGAAGCGGAGCACCTGGTACCGCCAAAGGTTTTGATTGATGTGGACAGTGTATGGAGAATCTTTGTCAGAATCATAATGAACTTGAAACACTTGAGATGCTCCACTGTCTTATAATTGGACTGAATCTATTATTGTTTTATTTACTGTAAACATGCATAGTTGGCTGGGGTTTTGTTCACCACTGATCTTGGTATAACTCTGTCCTCTGCTCATTTGCTCATCCAAAACCCCGAACTCCATCGCTAAACATGTGCGGCTTCAAGTAGATTGGTCCAAGGCCCTGAATGACCCTGATATACAACAAATGAACATTCCTGGAGCTGTACGGTACCCTCCATGCAATTTTTGTTCATTCACCGCTTGTTTGGCCACACCCTGATGTGACTGTCGTCGTAATGTACACACCACTTTAAACACATCCAGGAAAATGACAGAAACTACCAGTTGAACAAGCATCAAAATGGTACCACTAAGTGTTGCTTGTTGATTTGTCGCACTCTCTGTCAAAAAAACCAGCCGTTCTGCCTGTTCCCCATCCGGGGGGTACCGGCTCCAATCCATCGGGCGCGCGACATAACGCGACCTCCAAGAACTCCGCAGCGGCCGACCAGAGCTCGGCCAGGGGATCGAGCAACGACTGGGCCTCCGTGAACTTCTCCTGAACGAACAGGAGAAGAATGGCATATATATATAATCATACAGTGTATATATATATATGATTATACAATATTATACATGCATATTCCTTGTGACAAACCATTCCTTTTCTTCTACTATTAGCTGCGATATATGGAAAAAAAGGGAATATCGCCCAAGAGAGCAACACCAGCTGAAAACATGGAGATATGGAGCTTGGTACTGAGCTTGGTGCTTTTGTTGACACATGTTTTCATTGTTGTCTCACAAGGCTGGATTTGCAGTCAAATCAATAGACACACACACTTGCCAAGTTGTATGCAACTTCGAAGGGCACTCATGGTCGTTTCGGCTGGTTTCCTTGGGTTGTTTCCTGCCAAGTACGAGGCTTGTGCATGGGGGCTTGTTTGGGCAACAACAACTCCCATGTGTTTCATTATTGTGGCTGCAGCGTCAGCGTGCAGCTCATGTGTGATCACCTAAAGTGGCACGTTGTAACTGTAACTGCAAGTTTGGGGTCAGTAAAGTTATACAAAGGTTTCCTGCTCGCAAATGGAATGGCAGTGCGACTGAACACCTATATGTCAAGCATGCTGCGTGGACGTTACCCTACACTGTAATGCTAGTGCACATTCAAGAAACGCAACCGGAGTGATGCGAACTAGGTCTGTTCAATATTGAAAAAATAGTGTAGGCCGTTCTCAACACTGTTGGTCTCGTGTACTAGGACAACATTCACTCTATCAATCGTAAAAACAGAAGAACCGTGATGTCCTTTTCCCATTGTTGTACTTTGAGCATTAAAGAAAAACACGTCACACATTCATGAAGAACAACTCAATGACGATTCTTGCGCCCCAACTGGAAACCCTCGACGCCCTCCGAAACAGGTCGCCATCGCTATCCGCCGACCGCGAGGTGACGAATGTGCGCCTCGCACGTGGCATTCTCGACACCGAGACATCGCAACTTCTCGGTCCAATTCCTCACCAATTCCTCGCAGGTTGCACCGGTGACACGAGATCCACCCACCAGTGCGGGGTCTCCAGGCGTTGCACCGGTGTTGGGTCTCCAGGTGTTGCTTTTGGCACCCAAAAGTCGTGCAGCGACGTATTTCAATGGCCCAATACTAGTCCTTTGTCAAGCCAAACACATTGTTGATGGCTCAATGTCTGGAAGAAGAAGCTCTGTGACACTTTCAGAATCTGAGGATGGAAAGGAAGAATCGACTAAGACTTCTGGGTTGGGGGGTCTCCCTCTGACACGGGGAGGATTGGCAACAAAACCGTGGCCTGGCCTCCAGCTGCTGGAGCTCCTGCGACTTCTTCGTCAGAAGCGCCTGACCAAGGGCACGCAAGTATATATAGGGCTGTCTCATTCAAACCGAGACCTTTCTACTATCAAAGTGGTACTTTGACTTCAGCTGTTTAGATCGAACCATGAGGGATGTTCTGTGCAGCCATGTCGGATATTTCTGATGATGACACATCTTCGATCAGCTCTGCACTCTATGACTTGGAGGCAGCTGGAAGAACTAATTTCTTGCTGAAACGTGTATCCCACATTATGTGGTGCAGGAAATCAACGATGAAGTTGATGAACATCTATGCAAGTGGCTGGAGATGGCTCCAGGATTCATCATGAGCTCTGGTAACTTTGCATTATATAGTCAAGAGGAGTCTTGGGAATGTTTAGAGTAGCAATTTGAAGCCATAAGGTTTGACTGCTTGGCTTTCTCAATTTCGCGGGGACTTTACCTATGCCTCAGACTGTTCCTGAGCTGCAGTAGGTACACATTTGAGGTCGCTTTTCCTTTAATGTTTGGACATTGGTTGCTTTCAGGCAGTGGTGCTGACGTTCCTTACCAAGCAGTTGAAACCATATTCTGGAGCGCTCAAAAGCTTGACAATGTCAACTTCTTGTCACTTGCTTCGAATATGAGTCAAATTTGTTCTGGTGACCTGGACCTAACCATGGGATAAGTCACTAAGGAGTGCCTCTGAGTGTCATCCGCAGAAGATGGCATTCCTTCAAGCCAACTTTCCATCATGTGGCCAGTTACTTTTCATGCAAATTAAAGATGGTGGGTGGCCCCCGAGCATTAACTTACTGCTTGCCATCTAAGGTTCGTGGACAACATGTTTATTTCCGAGTCAAAGAAGTGGCAAATCCATGATGCTGCTTGGTGGTAATATGGGTCAGTTGGCTTTAGTGTGTAGTTGAGTTCATTTCCACTGGAACCTAGGTCAGCTTATATGTGGTTGGCTTCCCGTGCCAACCATACTCACTGTTGAGCCAAAGCCGGAAAATGTTGTCCGATCCGAATGCACGCCAGATGGTCAGAACAATCCGCCGGATCCGGCGATACCGACCAAAAGTGGCTTGTCAATTGCTGTGTGTGAGATGTTTCTCATGTCATCTCATGTCTATGTATGCATCTTGTGCTGTGCTCAGGTGGTGGTGCTTGAGAATGTGCTCGGATTTAAGCCGGTCCTTCCGCACTTGGTGGCATTGATCCGGGCGAATGTTCCAGGGCCTCTGAGCTGCACTGGCATCCAGTCAAGCCAATGCCTTCAGCAAAAGGTAGCTACTTATTCTTCAGGTACAAGATGAGTGTCAACATTCTGTGCCCGCAACTTGAACTTTTTACATTGTGTCATCAAACCTTTTTGTGGGATTAAATCTTGCGTGTGTGTTGATTTGATTGATTGAGCTAAGGACCTTGTTTGGATGTCCGATGTCCAGACGGCGAATCTTCCTTACACTTGTGAGGATGGACGTGCTTCAAGATCTGGGTTGCGAAAGCTTCAAAGGTGCTTTGCTGAGGCGGCTCTCTGGACAAATGCGACCGGTTGCTACCAGATGGACTTTCAGCTGCAGTTGTTCACTTCCAAGCTCATCAGATGTTCTTTTCCTCACCCAAGGCAAGACTTGCTCCTCAGTCGGGACCATCCAGTGGTGAGGCTTAATCGCAAGAAGAAAGAAGGCTTGCGACTTCAGAATGCAACGAAGCTCTTTAGCTTAATCAGATTCAGATGTATTGTATTTTTTGGGTCTCCAGCTGGCAACATGAGATGCTGACATGCTCAGGCCAATCAAGACAGATGCAAAATGGATCAAAAAGCATAAAGACTGGGCAAAAACTCATCAGGCCTTTTTTTTCCTGTGCTTTTAGGTTGATGAGTCGTTGTTGGAGTGCAGGTGGATATTCCACAGGCCGTTCACTTCTTCAAGCGGAAATATGCAGAAGCTGCTCGCTATGTAACCACAGCTCGTGAGATGCAGGCCTGTTCCAAGACACCTATTCTACTATTTCACATTTTGGCTGATGCTGAATGCAGGCCATATCCATCTTGACAGCAGTTCACAATGTCTCCTGTGCCAACACCTCGCAGACAATAGACCACATGCCTTTTTCAGTCAAAGGCCGCAGTGACATCCTTCCATGTCTTACGATCCTTGACTGCCCAAGAGTTGCAAGAGTTTCCTGTTGTTGTGTCCAGTTTCAGTTGCACTTTGCTAGCATGCTTTGTTCTGAGGCCAAGTGGAAAGTTTCTGATCCTGGAGGAGAGCAACTACCGGTACATGACGGGCCTTGAGGCGGCGATGCTGATGGGGATGCCTTGCCACCGACTGATCCATAAATCAACACCAGATCATGCTCCTTGTCTGACCTTCTCTGCATCATGTTCCTTTGTTGCTACCTGTGCTATGCCTAGGTGATGCACTCCTTAGCCGGGAACGCTATCAGTATGCACTGCATCCTCCCGTTGCTTTGTGCAGTTCTTGCCTGCACAAGGCCTGATAGAATGTCTCAGCCTTGAAGGATGCAGTTCTCTCGAGGAAAACCAACCATTTGGAGCTGGCAGTCTGCAATGCAAACATTGACAAATTGCATAAAACTGTGCCAGCGTTTTGTGCTGTGTTTTTGGCCTAAAGAATACAGTTTCATTTCAATGACAAGACTTGTCTTCAGTGAGGGTCTAGATAATACGTGTTCCAGATAAGGGAAATTGTATACAGTACAACAAACTCAAGAACAGTTGTTGGACACCATGCCCATTTTGGGACGCTATGATGCTGATGCTGACCAGCAGAGCCAACATCTTTGGCGGTATGACCCCACCAGTTCAGACTCAGATTCTGAATCAGAGACACTTGGCCTGAAGTTTGTAAAGCTTCAAGCACATTGAACGTACTGTAAGTAAATGTTTGAATAGCCAAGGACTTCTGGTGATGGTTCAAGTTCATCTGGATCTTCTCATGATGGTTCAGGGGATGGCCAGGGCGGGATGGGATCTGTGGATCTTGGCCTCGAGCTTCTGCACTCAATGCATGCAGTGTCTTCAAATGTCAACAAGGATGCAACAGCCTATGACCGTCAAGGAATGGACAAATCAAGGATCAAACATGCTGTGAAACAGCCTCGATGCAAATGTCAGTGCACTGCACCATTCCAGATCGTGCTCAAAGTTTGTGTTGCCTTTTGGATGTTGACAAAGGCAGGACAGGACACCGTACTATGGAACATACAGCATTCGCAACCTGGAGACCGGAAGGAGTGGTACATTGCAGGACTGATTGTAAATGCACAAACAACAGCACATCAGATCAGTAGCATTCAATTATATAACAACTTGGAAGGACAACATGTCTGTAAGGTGGCATGGCTGTATATGATGGGCATTGGCAGACAACGGCTTCAGAGATGCAAGAAAATGTGGAATGGAAAGGATGGAAGGTCTTTACGAGGATTCTTTTTTGAAATATTTTCAGTGTACACAGACACATGTTTGGGTCCGTCCATTAATCTTGCCCCTGTGAATTAAAGCTCTCAGGAGAGACAGCTCATCCACCTATCAAGGCTGCATCTGTCAACGCCTTCATGGTACATATGTACTGGACGGCTGGAGAGCCAATGACAGTGGAGTGCCTTGGCTAAACTTGCATTAAAAAGGATTGTATCATCCAAGTTTACATTGCATATTCATGATTGGCTTTCAAATGTTTTCAGGATTGCCACCAAAGCAACCCTCGATCAAGCTGATGAGCCTCTGAGAGAGGAGCTTCTACAGCGCCTTATCGATAGCAGATTGATGGGAGCTTCCCAACAAGTCAGCTTCAACCACGACCCAGCCAGGTTGCCAGTTCGAGAGCTGCCTCACTCTACATGGAGTGAAATGTTCTTGCTTTACAAAGCTTACATGAAGACCAACGGGCAAGAGCCAGCATCGAAGTCATTGTTTTTCCGACAAATCAAAGGATGGAAGCAATGCATGCGCTTCCATCAAAAAACCCATCACGCACAATGCATGACATGCTGCCGATACAGGTCTGCCCTGCAGAATGCGACTGAAACTTGTTCATCCATTGGTTAAGCGTTTGCTTTCACCACAGCACAGGATTCAAATTTAGAACATTGGATTCCTTTCCTGGATGTTGCCTTCAGGACTTCCAGGAAGCTGCGAAGCTATCAGATGGGCTTTTGGGGCATTACAGTGCCACATGGCGCGACAGGTCTGTGTACTACCTCGCAAGAGAAAGGGCCAAGTGTCAAAAGGATCTATTGGTGATGATTCAAGACACATACGACCACACGAAAATGAGTTTGCCGGCTTGGCCCCGACGGCGATGCCCCAAGAAGCCAATCTTTGAAGCGACCAAAAGTAACATGTCTTGAACAGTAAGAGTTTGATTCTGTGTTTAAAGTGCAGCTGCCAGCTCTTTGACGGTATCCAATGAGGAACTCAGTTGACCTTAACCGGTACTATAATCCATGGATTCGGAGTGTACTTCTGGATTGGACAAGAAGGCCAACCTCAAGGATCAAATTGGACGATCGAGTGTGCGACTTGTTTGCAGTGTATTTCAGCTGCTAACCTTTATTTTGCTCTTGGTGCACTTGAGTGCAAGGCTATGAGAGCCATTGACAAAGCTTGGCAGAAGGCAAGATCCATTGGCATTTCCTTTCCACAGGAGTGCACGACTTAGATTGTGTTGATGCTGTTGTTTGTTTTGTTATTGATTCCTCTCATCCAAGGATATGGCTACAAGGAGATAACACAGTCAAGGAAATCCGCAATGCATACATTGGGAAGTGGGCATCGCTATTGACACAGGGGCGGTACGCTAGAAGCGTGTCTCACCACCATATGGTGGTGGGACACACGCATGAAGACATAGGCGGGCAACTCAAAGTGAAACTTTGTGCTTGAAGAATTACTCCACCTGCCCGGGCAGATGGAATCTTCAGCATTGTTACATCATGTCTCAGAGCATCTGATCCTGCTGACCTTCAAACCCCAGCAGATGTGGAAAGGAGCCTTGGTTCCAACAACA